CCCCCCCCGACTTATTGTTTAAATTAAAGACTTGAGGCTACATAAATGAGATCATGCCCTACATAATTGCCAAATTTCCATCCCCAGTTTCTCACACCCGGGTGGGTGACCTTCAGTTTGTCATCCCTTTCACTTGCCTTTCTTAGGCCTGTTGGTTTATTAGCATGTTATCACTCATCAGGTGATGAAAAACGGGGTTTCATTTGGTTGGGCCCTCCCCACATGGCCGCATGCATGGCAGATGGTGCACAAACTGCACATGGTGGATGGTGCCAAGTTGCCAATTAGGTAGTCGGTAGGGTGCAAGTTGAATAGATTAGGGTTGAGATTTTTGTTAAAATTTTAATGCATCTAATTCAAAAATCCAAACCCAAAACACAATAAAATGTCAACTGATATTGGGTAAGGTTTCTGGTTAATGTAAGCTAGGATCAAAATTTTTATACGACACATCTCGTATCAAGTATATCATATCATATCGACGCCACATCAGTGAGTGAGAAACCAATTTATTTTGCTGTTTAGTTGGACAATTTATAAGAAATTGATAAATCGGGTAAAAATCAATTACTATAATCGGACTAAAAAGAGAAATCAGGAAAAAATGATTATTCCTCTTTTTTTGGCCCATTCTGATTATTTTTGGATGATGTAACATCATAGATAGGATAAAAAATTTCGTAAACATAAAAATCACATATTTACGACCAAACAAATTGATAGCATATTTACAAGAGATGACAATAGTGGTACCAAATTAATAATTTTTTTAATTTTGATGAGGGTGGATTTGGCCCTCCAGTGACATTGTGATACATGGCATCTCGTGACAAGTAGGTGTAGCCTAGTGACAATTAGGTGCAGAGTAATGACAACTAGGCAGCTCGCCACTTATAGGCAGCTCGCCATTAGGCAGCTCACCACCATGCGGCACTGCACAGGTAGCTCGCCACCAGGCAGCTCGCCACTTACGGCCAGCTCGCCTCCTAGTCAGACCGACCACTGCATGACAACCCCGAGGAGCTCACCACCGTACCCCGCGTTTTACGGGATTGTGACTTATAACGGCTATATTAACTCACCCACTCCCCGATTTAGGCGGAAATGGGCAACCTTACCGGTTAGTGGCTTTATCCCCACCTAACACAAAAGCAGGTCCCATCACAGCGGGAATCCAGGAACTACTCCACCAAACTCATGAGGACTCCAGTATATAAAGGCCTCACCCCCCAGGGGTGGGAGGAGATGGTAACCCCTGCTCTCTAGCTCTCTCATTCTCTAATATCATTCTCAGCTCGCTACTAAGTGCTGATTTAGCCATCGGAGTGACCTCGTTGGAAAAATACCCCTGGGTTCTTTGATTCAGTTCATGCAGGTCCCTCAGTTCCCACCGCCTACAGAGATGAACAGATCATCTCCAGTAGAAAGTAGTCGGTTCAGTTCCGGTTGTTGCTGGTAACCAGATCACCTCCTGCATGGAACACTTGGATTGCACTACGCTAAGGAGCTCTACTTCAGCCCTTGAGTCGTCGGCCACTTGGGAACAAACAAGATGATAAGATCCTTAGCCAAAGAAAAATGATACGTGACTAGAATCGGTTACATCAAATTTCTTATAAAATCATCAATTTTAAAAATCAGTCATTTATGAAAATTTTCACTAGAAAAACCAGCGTGTATCCCAAGCATCACCATGATTTAGGGATCCCATCTGATCTAAGAACCCATGGATATGATGGGACCAACCAAGGGGTCGATGTAGCTCCCATGCGTGCCACATACTCTACGTGACGTCGTGACAAATGTCCATCAAAATTCGCAATTTCATATAATACAGGTCCGTCCCACTCGATTAAGACGACCGTTTTTTCAGTTTTAGTTTGTTATCTAATGCCTACCTGTCAATCGCTGTATTGGCACGATCCTTCAATAAGGGAACTCTTACTTGTACACGTCGAATTGCCAACCATCACACTCGATCTCTTTTCGTTTCGTGTTCGTTTTGCATTCAAGGAACTGTCCCAACTCCCAAGTCCCCAACTTATCCATTTCAGACCTCTCGGTTCGTCTTTTCGTATCATCGTATGCCATCACTGAACAACGTTTGTGAGCATGGATAAACTTTTATCAGACGTGGCGCTACCGCTGACTCAGGATGAGAGAATTGAGACCTACCGTGTCACAAATAAGTTGAGAGAGAGAGAAAAAAAAACAGAATATAGGTTTGAGTATCCAAGTGAACAATAATACTGGGTGGATTCCAATTTCCAGGGAATATTAGAGAAAGAATATTGAAATGCTGCAGGGAAAACATGGTCATATCGTGGCAACTGCATGTTAGTTGCTGAATTTTTTATGTATAAAATTCATTGAAATTTATACATTTTCTCATGGAGGGCGGTTGCATAGTGCCCCGGTTCCCCTAAATAAACCGTGAGACCATTTTTGTTTTCTTTGCAGGCAATCCAATTCGAATCAGTTTATTTATATTATATATAAATAAAAAATTAACCACAAATAATAATTTGGTGCAATGAGAGCTGCCTCTAGAGTCTAGACCCGAGCGGCGGAGCGGAATATTCTCATTTCTCATCCCCAATTTCTAGGCTGCTGTGACCACGCGCCCAAATACACTGTATATGTATGTATTAATTATTGTATGGTTTCAACGGTTGAGATGTGTGATGTGTCCCACCCTAAGGATAATTATAGACCATAACCCTCCCCGCCTAATTAAGACTTATACGTCACCTCCAAATTCCAATCTCAGAACTCAAGAAGTTTCGTTACGTCACAAACCGTTTGTTGGATAATTTCACAATTTTATTTTACAACCAAAAAAGTGTAATAGAAAAGCCCCCTGAACTTCCCATCCCAACTGGTCAGTGCCCACCCCTTGTATAAATACTTTCCCGGTCTCAATTCAAATCCACAACAAAACTTTCTCACTTTCTATTTCTTTGCTCTCTCTCTTTAGAATGGAAAAGAAACAGCAGCACCAGCTTCGATGGATCAGAGGGAATTGCATAGGAAAAGGTTCGTTTGGGACCGTCAGTCTCGCAGAGTCCGACGGTCGACTCTTTGCAGTGAAGTCCGTCAATCCGAATTCGTCCATCCCTTTTCAACACGAATCTTTGGAGAACGAGATTAGAATTCTCAAGTCTCTATCTTCGCCTTACGTGGTGGAGTACCTCGGCGATGACATAACACACGAGACCGCCACTACATCGTATCGGAATCTGCACATGGAGTATTTGCCCGGAGGTACCATTGCTGACTTGGCCACCCAGTTTGGCGGGAAAGGTTTGGAGGAACGCATTGTACGGTCCTACACTTGGTGCATCGTCTTTGCTTTGAGCTATGTGCACTCCAGGGGCATCGTCCACTGCGACGTCAAGGGCAGGAATGTTCTGGTGGATTCCGCTCTCGGCGTCGCAAAGCTTGCTGATTTTGGCTCCGCCAAGCGGGTCTCCATCGGAGACGCCAATTCCGAGGACGAAGGGTTGATCTTGCCTCGAGGGAGCCCGCTCTGGATGGCGCCAGAGGTAATTCGACGGGAGCGGCAGGGTCCGGAAGCTGACGTCTGGTCGTTGGGTTGCACGATTATCGAGATGATCACGGGTAAGCCGGCGTGGACAGATTGTGGAGATGCCGCGGCAACGATGTTTAGGATCTGTTTCTCCGATGAATTGCCGGAGGCTCCAGCTCAATTGTCAGAATTGGGTCGCGATTTCCTTAGTAAATGCCTGAAGAGGGAACCAAGCGAAAGGTGGAGTTGCGAGCAGCTTTTACGCCACCCATTCGTATCGGCCGGTACCATTACGGAACCATCGCCACGGTGCGTATTAGATTGGTCTAGTTCGGAATTTTGCGACGACGGAGACGAAGATGAAGTACTACAGGAAGAAGAAGAAGAGGCAGAAATCGGTAACAATTGTGTTTCGCACGACTCAGTTTCCAACTTTGAAGTTTCTGCGAGAGAGAGGATTAGGGAATTAGCTACTGATAGGAGAGTACTTTGGGAATCGGATGGTTGGGAGGTGGTGAGAAGGCCGGGTTCGGTCTGTGACAGGGGAAGAGGTGGGTGTGGTGGTGGTGGTGGAGAGGGAAGAGAAGGGACAAGTTCGGAATACTCGAATTTGATTGAAAACAGGGAGGAAAGAACAGGAGCAAGTTCAGAATCTGGGAAGTTGATGAGTGGTGGAGAAGAAATTGAAGGGACATGCTCGGAATATTTAAATTCTATTGTAAGTTGCTTTAGAGTTGGAGGGGAGTGGCCATGTCTCGTAATTACCTGCTGTGGTAGTAGTTACAGCAGCAGCAGCAGTTGTGGTTACAGAGATGGTTCGAGTTGTCAGCATGGCTTGCAAGGGGAAAAGATGGGCTTTTACTTTTACAGTTGGTGTAAATTATTGTTATCTTTGTTGAGTCACATAATGAAAATTCAGATTCCAGTTAATATGATTTTTATTTTTGGTTCCAGTTCAGAAAACCATAACTTCACAATCTCTCTCTCTTGACTTCTTGATATATATATATATATAAGTGTTTGGAATGGCAGAGAGCGTAGTGGAAGTGGAACGCAACGAACCACAAAAGAGTGTAAAGTTATAAAGCTAAGATGTTAGGATGAGTTAACCACTTGAGCAAAGGGGATTCCGGATTCGTATAATGATGGATGAGTAAGACTGTCCTCCAGAGGTGCCTCTCCGAAAATGAACCACCACCACCACCAGGCATCGCCCTTGTGAATTATTGACCTGATGTCCCATGCACCAGAAACCGGCCAAACCTTTTTTTAGGAGGTTTTTGTAAGGGTCTGATTCAGGTTCAGCAGTGCAGACAACATTTTGAAAGCCGGACCAGACCTATATAATATACCCCGTCAGACGTCACTCCGTCATCTGTCTCATTCATCGGTCTCGTAGTTCAACCAAAACTGTTCGTCCACTGGTAACAAACAAGCAAACCAGATACCCGGAACCCGATCAATTGCCCGGTCATCGGTTCAACCATTTTGGGTCAATAACGATTTGATGGGACAGTTGATTCCAAATGAATTTAAAAGTACAAAATTTTGGTTGGGTCTCAACAGTGTATGACACTATATTGTATGCTAGCTTAGGTTGGGTTGGTTAGTCGAGCTCTAGTTGGACGCCAAACCCAGCCCACTTGATTTCCACCTTGATTATTAATTGATCTGCAAGGGTATGGGACCAATTATTTAAGCAGCAGTCGACCCAATAGTCTTGAAGCTCTTGGGAGTTGGGACCTTATCCTTATATTCCTATCTAAGTTTCTAACTAGCTTTGTGTTCCTAATTGCCCTCTATCCTTTCCTTTCTGGGTTTTTATCTTTTAAATTCTAAACCTTCTGCGATTGTTTCAAATTTACCTATCAAAAGATTGTTTCAAATTTGGAACCAATTAAGATTCCACAAGTGCCATGAATGTGGTTAGTAAACATGAGATCTGCCAAATCATATCCTGCTGGTGCCGATTCTCATACATTATCAATATTATTATTTTCATTGTCATTATTTTGATTTGCAAGAATCCGATGCTGCTTCATTTCCATGTTCTAAAATCTTTAAATTAAACCTAAACAATTAAATAAGGCGGTGTTCAACAACATCGTTGATTTTGTTTTTTTAAATAAAAACAATTGCCACATCATAAAAAACAATATGCTAGATGGATAGCCAACCATACGTGAAATTGGGAAGGCAACTTATCCACCTCTACTCGTCTTTGAGTTTTTCTTTTCTTTTCTTTTATTTTTATTTTTTTTTTTTACATATGAATAAGGCAGATATGGTATTAAGCTAAACCGGCCAACCTTTCTCAAACTGTATATTGTAGGAAGGCATATGAAATTACGTAATAACTTATCAGGTGTTCAATTTAATAATATTATTTCAAAAGTAATAAGAGATTACATGCAGATTTTGGACCCAACTCACTCCACTCTCAAATGCAATAAGAGTAGGGTTAAGGATGATATTGCATTTAATGTGTGGAAAGGGTTTAGATTCTAAACACCAATTTACTACAAGTTTTAGGAAGAGTATAGGTTGAGAGGTATAGGAAGTTAGATAGGATTTTAAATTTACAAAGCCCTCCTCAAACCTGTTCCGTTATCATCATCCTTTTGCGAACATGCAAACTAATGGGATGGTTCCATGCCAACCAATATATCTCACAAGAGTTCAACATTGTACTTGAAAAAACTTATAACCAATCAAATGCTGCCATTACTGGTAACAAGTCAGGTGGTTAATTATCAAAATCATTGGGGTTTATTGGTCAAAGCCACTCTCATACCATTAGACCTGTTCATGGGCCAGGTAGCCCAATGGCTCGGTCCAGCCCAGCCCATTATAAGTTGAGCTTGGTCATAACTTTAGGCCTATAGGCTCGGGCCTAAAGCACCTAGCCTGGCATTTTTTCAGGTCAGGCTTGGGCTTTCTCAAAAAAGCTCGACCTGAGCCCGACATGATATTAGATATTAAATAATAAAAATATATATTTTATTTAATAAAAATATATAATATATACAATATTTTTTGTTCTTCTTCTCTTTTTTTTCAAGTAATAATGAGATGTTTATTATTTTTTATTTTTGAAGGTCTTTTATATAAATAAAACACTTTTATTGAATAAAAAAAAAAATCTATTTTCAAATTCCTGACCATACTCAAGCTTCGGGCTTTATATAAGGGTCAGACTCAAGCTCAAGACCTAGGGCCGATGGTCGGGCCAGGCTTAGACTCAGGCCTGAATATATTCAGTTGATACATAGTCAAAGCCTGGCCCTGCCCATGAACAGATCTACTTACCATGTATTTCCTTCCACCTATCTCTTACAAAAAATGAAACCAACCAAGTGATCGTTTGATCGGACTGGTCCTTAAATTGGTCGTGGATGGCTTGATGTAGAATGCTCGGGTAAATGTATAGACAATTAGATGGATTAATTAATAATAACAAAATCTGAAGCTGCAGCATATATCAATCAAGGATTTTGCCAAGTCATCCCACAAAAATTAAAAAATAAAAGGACTCAATCAAAATGGTCGAAGCAATCCACATTTAGCCAGGACCCGGTGGTAGGTAGTGCGGGGCACCCACTGATTTAAGGTTGCAACATTCCCTTGCGAGTTGCAACTCCTATTCAAGGTTTAAAATATTGATACAGGTCAATATGCGATAGGGGTGTATTTGCTTACATCGAGGCTCGCTTCTCTTTTTTGTAAGTTTTTTTAATCTAGTTCAGAGGGGTCAGTTTAAGGTTTGTCTACCCTCTGAACCAGGTCAAACCCCAAAAACACCCACTGTAGGGTGTATTGAGAACCTCACTCCTACTGAGATATCTTCCCATGAATGAAAATATTCAAATATGGAAATGTCTTAATGCATGGCTTCAAGTGTTGTGAGGACAGTGTGAAAGCAAATTTTATAAAAACAAAACCACATCCTTTGGAATTCAATCTTGAACCTTAAACATGGGAGGATGAAAAGACTAGGAGAGCATTATGCCATGTCTAATTGTCTTTCCATGTGCTGGGCTACGCCATAATAATTTTTTACCATCAAATCAATCCATGAATTTTGATAAATAACATTTGATTGATTACCACATTTGTAATACATAAGGGACAGGCCCAATACAGGTTTCTAAATTCCACATTAATTAGCACCAATTCCGAATTAACACTCATCCTAACTGTATTTTGTGCCTAAAAATTTTGATCCTGACTGAACTATTATTCTCCCTTTTTTATTGGATATCATGTATATCAGCGGCATCCTAAGAAAAAAGCCCCAACAGTCACTTTTGAATCCACTCACTAAGATCCAAATTTATTGAAGGGGAAAAAAGATTAAGCAACAGACCCAACGGCTATATTATTATATAGGGTAAAATATAAAAACCTCCCGGTTTTATTTTAACAAAATTCTCTCTTATAATTTTGAAACAAAATAAAAACCCGGAGTTACCTCCCTTTGATAAGTATTAAGATAATACATTAATTTTTCAAAATATCCATGTTACCCTTACGCATATTAATCATAAAAAATATATTATTAAAATATCCAAACAAAGTTTTTATCTTCTAACTATAAAAGTTCCTTGAGTCAAATCCACAAGAGAAAAATTTTATTCTGTAAATTTGTCAAGAGCGAAGCCATCTTCAAGGTCAAATTTAACATTTGAATTATGTACAAAGATGGCCTAACAAATAATAAGGATAATTTCATAGATTATGAGTTTCCGTTATTATAGGTGATAAGGGTGGATTTGGCACTCGAAACCATTTTGGCAACAATTTGTCTTAGTCAAGTTGATGGTATCCCACCTGCCAGCTTGGCATAGGCATAGGCATAGGCGCGACCTAGCAGCCTGGCACAGGCGTCAACCTGGCGACTTGCAAGACGTGCTCGCAGACGAATTCGGCATGCATATCCAAGCACTCCCACGATCCTTGGAATTTGGCCCACGTGCCGAACGATCCGGAGGGTGGTCAACGTGCATGGCGGTTACCTTAGGGAATCTCGGACCACTTAGACGACTTCTCGGAAATCTCGGATATGGTGTGTGAAGCCCATGCCAAACAATGCCTGTATAAAGGCACCAACCCCAATGACATGAGGGGCAATTAAGCATATTCTAGCTCTCATACTTTGTGAATTTTAGCTCGCAGTCTACTATGAGTACTGACTTAAGCATCGGAGCGACCTCGCCGATTAGCCACCCCGGGTCCTCTAACATTGATTCCTTGCAGGTCTCTGAAGAACGACGAAGCTCAACAATCAATACAGCTCGTCACCTAATAGGCAACTCGGCCCCCTGGTCAGCTTGGCAACTAATAGGCAACTCGGCCCTCTGGTCAACTCGGCACCTAACCTGCCTAGCTCGGCACTTTGGTCAGCTCGTCACCTAACCTGCCTAGCTCGGCCCAGTTAGTTCATCACCTAACCTGCCCAGCTCGGGCCCAGTTAACTCAGCACCTAATCTGCCCCCAATTCTGACCAAATGATGAGGTAGTTAGCACAAAAAATTGTTAAAAAAAATTGATTCATCAATAGGTCAATGGCAGAATTAAGGCAAAACTCTAGGAGAGGTTTTGTTAAAATGAAACCTCAGGAGATGTTTTTATGATTGTCCGAAAACTAAGGGAGGATATTTCTATATTTTACCCCGTTAAATACAACGCTGAAACACATAAAGCTTAAGTTTCCCCAAAACCTTTAGGTTGTGTTTGGTTTTAAAGAAAAGATAGAGAAACTTTTATAAACCTTGTATAAGTTTCTCAGTTTTTTCCTTCTTTTCCCTACATTTGTTTGAGGTGTAAATTCATTTTTACACCGATGAAAAAGATAGTGCCAGTTCAATGATCGATGGAAAATAGAAGTAGGTGGATTTGAATTTTTATGTTGATAACGTTTAGTTGTCACAGTATAAATAGCTCTCCTTTACGATAGGGTTGTTCATAAGAAGGCCCAACCCGACCAAACCGACCAATCCGAACCGATCCAATCTGAGTCGATCGGGTTTTCATCAGCATGGGTGGGTTTCGGGTTGTGCAAATTCTTAAACCGATGATTTGGGTCGGTTTCGGTTTTCACACAAAAAAACCGAATCCGACCCGAACTGAACCGACTTAGTTCCTAGTTCAAACATGAAGTTCCAAAGCTCATTAGGCCACTTAGTTTTTGAATAGTTGCAAGAAACTTTGGATTAGTGAATAGTGATTAATGAACAACTTTTGTGATTAACTTTTCATTTAAATAATATCATAGGAGATTGCTGAAATGATGTTCAATTTACGACTGTTTTTAAAATTAGCAAGATTTTATCACAGGGATGAACTTAGAACCGAAACCGACCCAATCCGACTCAAACCGACCAGGTCGGTTTTGCTTAACATTGGGTCGGTTTCAGTTTCTATGTCAAGTAACCCGACCAAGTCGGGTCGGTTGGAAAAACCACAGTAAACCAACCCAACCCGACCCGTGAACAGCTCTACTTTACGAGATTAAATAAGAAGAATAAGGGTATTCGATTTTACTTGAGAGAGATTTACAAAATTAAAATAAAAAACCATTTGATTAAAGGAGAGATTTACAAAATTAAAAAGCAAAAAAAAAAAAGCTATTTGATTAAAGGTGAACAAACGCACCAACAGAAAAATAAGGGAATTTCGCATAAAAACTGGGTCTCAACGGAGCAACAGCCGCTGCTGAAAACGACTAGTTCAGGGAAGTGTTCGCCTGTAAGAGACGAGAGTTGGGTATCACTGCTCAAGGAGATTCTTGAACCAAGCAACTGGGTCTCACCGCTCAAGGAGATTCTCGAACTGAGCGACTGATTCAAGGAAGTGTTTGCTTGCTGCTACTGTAACGGAGTTGGGTCTCACCGCTCGATGCTCAGTATGGATGGAGTTGGATCTCACCGCTCTCTACTACTGTAACGGAGTTGGGTCTCACTGCTCGATGCTAGGCATGGACAGAGTTGGGTCTCACCGCTCGTTGCTCGGCATGGATGAGGTTGGGTCTCACCGCTCCCTACTACTATAACGAAGTTGGGTTTCATTGCTCGATGCTAGGCATAGACGGAGTTGGGTCTCACCGCTCATTGCTAATGTAACACAGTAACAGAGTGGGATTTCACTGCTCAATGCTCGGCATGGATGGAGTTGGGTCTCACCGCTCACTGCTAATGTTGAATCCTAGAGAGAGAACAGGGGAGACCGTTGGACAGAGAAGATGCGAGGTGACCGTTGGACAGAGGAAGGTAAAATTTTACAGTAAACTTTCCACTGATTTTCGATGAATATATCGACAAAAATGGACTTTACACCGCAAAATCAAACCGAAATATAAAGTTTACCTCAGTTTTTATTTTCACTTTCAGGAGGAATATAAGAAATGGCTTGAATTGAATGTTGAAGTTTGTCCTTACAAATCAACCGTGGAATGGCTTTAATCGTCATTTGCGTTCCCATACTAAAAGCCAAATGGTTAAGGTGTGGGAAGGGAAGGGAAAACTTGTAATTGAATTGGATTTTGCTCCGTGAATATAACAACTTTTAGTGGGCTGGGCTTGGGGCATGAGACCGTTTTGTGAGGCAGTTAGCCCAAAGCCCAAGCCTCATCCCGTATTGCGTAGCCCCCACCTCTCGATTTATCAAAAAAAAAAATATAGTCAGCTAATCATCTAAAATTTTTTGGGCGGGCCCCGGACTTCAACTACCCTCATATTCTAATCAGGAGCAGCAATGATCGATTTTATGTTCAGTTTGAAAAGAGTACAAATATAAATATGTACAGTATAAATATATAAAAAATATAAAATATAAGTTTTTACACTCTATATATATGTATTTATACTCCATTAAAACGGAGCTAATAACGTTTAGATGGAACTAGTCAAGGCAACCCATATCCTTCTGTAATTGGAGGGCCATAAGAGATAAGCAAGGGAATCAAATAGCACTTTATTCAAGACCGTATGGAATTGAGACTCGTTGAAAGTTGAGTTATATTTAGTATGGTTTTCAAAATCGGTCGGACTGGACGGCTGGATCAAAAAAACCGGGATTGGTTCTGCTTTTCTTAAAACCGTTGATTTTGGTCAGTGAACTGCTGAAACCAGATGGTTAATTACTCAAACTGTTTGAATGGTCTTGACTGTTTTTTATTTTTTTAAATTTTTTTACTTTTTTTTTATTTTTTGTCAGAACAGGCTGAACGTTCGGTTTGAATTGTCGGACCATTCAACCCGGTAACCGGACCCCTGATCGGTTCGATTTTAAAAACCGTGATATTTAGTATTACAAGGTGCCTAGATAGCAAGAGAGATGAATGTGGAGAACATGGTGATAGAAGGGGATTCCAAGGTGGTAATGCACTTAGATAAAGAATTCGGATTCAACCATATGGTGCTATAGAGATAAAATGAAGTTCAAATGGCTAACACAACTAGAGGTGTAAAATGGGTCGGGCCGCCCTCCCCTAGGATAACTTGGGGAGTTGGCTCGGCATGGCCCACGGCCCAGACCCGTGCAGGCTCGTGTCGTGTCATGGGCCAAGTCGGGCTGGGCATCAGACCAAAGTTATTTATTTAAAAAATTGATAAAAAACTTAAAAATTTAATTTTATATGAATTTTGATATATAAAATTACTTATATATACAATAATTAAATAAATTAATATAATAAAATTAAAAAATATATTTATTTTATTAAAATAAAATAATTAAATAAAATTTAATTTTATATCCAACAAGACTCAGAGTACTTGTGAGCAGGCTCCGGTCTAGGTGGAGGTAGTGGAGTTGATGTATTGTGCAACGAAAAGGGCAGCAATGAGCAGGCAGTGATCCATTCCCGTGTAGCAGCAATGGTGATGACTGAATTGGAGTCGTAGGAAGAGTTCTAGTGACAGGCGATTCCCAACAACGACAAATATCAGGATGGAACCAAGGCAGTGATAGTAATAACTGGGCTTCTGCTTGTTCTTCACCCCAAGTGTCGGTTGTAGCATCATTAGGATTCCAATCTCCCATCATCGCAGATAATAAAATCCCTAAACTGGCTGCAAAAGAATACTTGTTAGTGGTTCCACCTCTAATGAGACCCACCTGACCTGACCCTTGTTAGAATACTCTACAAAGGAAAAAGATTCGAGTTTTCTGGGTTGAATTTGCAGTTTAACATTGGATCAAACAAAGCAGAAAAATGATACTGCTAACAAAGAATTTCAACATACATAAAAGAATATCTGAACCCTTCCCAAAAAAAATCAAAGAATAAGATCAATCTAGACTCCAAATAACAAATGGAACTGTAAATTATTTCAACTTAGAACAAAAGAATCCTGTATGAAGCTATGTTTGTTGCTTGAGCTAACTCTAACTGCAATGGAAGAATGAAAGAATGAGTTAAAAAATTCAGCTAGCCTTCTCTATCTAGAAAGAGAAAGAATTGGAATTCTACCCCCCTTCTGCATGGCATTCATGGAAGAAGATTAAGATGACTCCCATGATCAACTCGGTACCTAAGATAAGAGGAGCTTCCTGCAACGTCAAGAGATGCCCACGCAGAAACAATGTACAGAGGCTGCTCTAGCCACCTGAGAGTAAGCCCAGCTCCTTCCCCTTGCTTCTCAACGCTGTACTTGTCACCAGCATACATCTTCAACAGCATTCGGCTCTGAAGCAGCTCTCTGTCTCCAATCCCCACATATCAAAACCCTCCATGTTTCATCAACCCCCTCCACTTCGCGAAGCTCTCGTGTCTCTCCAACCTATTCATTGCCTTCACAAGAAACTATGTTTCTAATCTCCTTGGCATACATCTCCTCTGCTTTGATTCTAACCAAGCTATCTAATGGCAGAGCAGAATCAATTGAATCAAAGATGGCAGAGTAGTATCACAGAGAATTACAAACCCTCGCTTCCAAATTGGCTTCATTGTGCAGAGCTCGCATTCTGTGCACCCGTGGGTGCACTAGACGAGTGCACCCGCGAATGAGAGGTGAACACGTGTTAACCATGAATTAACGGAAGTTTTCTCCGTTAGCTGGTTGAACCGGCTATTGTTGGAACACCTTTTGGAAGAAGAAGAAGAAGAGAGGAGGAGGAAAGAAGGGGCGGATCCGGAGCCCCTGTTTTTGTAAGGTAAAAGGGGCTCCGCCCCTGTTTTTGTTCCAAAAAAAAATAAAAAGAAGGGGCAGAGCCCTGTTTGTTGTTCCAGAAGAAGAAGAAGAAGAAGAAGAAGAGCATGCCTTATACGTACCCGCGTCGGAGTCTTGCCACCGATGGATGATAGCAGATGAACGGTGGATGAAACTTCGACGAAGATTACTGGTGAGAAAGTCAGATTCCTCACCAGAGGAAGATATTTTCTTTTCCGGTAACGATTAAAATCATTTTTGGATTAGTTAGGTTTTAAGAGAATGGCAATAAAAAGAAAATTTAAAACGTTTAGTGGGGTATTTTGATAATTTAACGTTTTCCGTTATCTGCTTAAACAGTCAAAGGGGCATTTGTCGAAACATAAATGTTTAGGGGGTCTATCGAAAAAAAAGAAAGTATTAGGGGTCTTTCTCACTAACCCTATAATATAGGAGAGTGAACAATCCAAGTGAGAAAAAAAACAGTTCATTACATGAAAGACACGTATCTGAAAAAAATAATTCATTGGATGACACGACACGTGTCCATAATTCTGTCTTCCTCCTCTCGAACTCTCTCCTCTCTTTCCTTCTTCGATACCCTCTATCTTCCCGTTGCCTCCCTCTCTTTCTCTCCCTCTTTCTCTCCTCTTCTTTGTTCTTCTCAAATTTGTTTGTTCTTCTCTATCATGGGTTCTTTTTGATTGTTTTCTTTTCTTTTTGTTGGTTGGCAGGTGTTGCAGTGGCTTCCTTTTCTGACGGAGATGGCTTCGTATCTAATGCATGGTGAGGGTTTGTAGTTCGTCTGTTGGTTGTTCCCTTATTGGCACTGTGGTTACTGTGGTTCATGGTGCCGATGGTGACACATAGAGAGAGAGGGGGGGGGGGGAAGGGGAGAAAATAAAGGTCATGGAAGCATCACTGGATAGGGTTTCTACTCCTCTTCGTTCCTCTCCAATCAAATTGGCAAGACAACACCAACGAAAGATTCTTCAAGCTTCTTTGAAGTAAGTCGTAGCCCTAAAGTTTCTACATTTCTTTTGTCTCTCTTCCAAATGTATATGAGAAACATTCATCTGCTTAGGGATTTTTATTTTTTCAAATTTTCTACTTATTGGTGCCATGGAGACCTTCAAAGGTTCCTATCTGAGTTGTGATCCCTAATTACACCTCAAATGCATTGAAGTTTATGTAAACCACGACTCTAGTGTTTCAATTGCTACTCAATACCTTCTGTTGTTTGTGTCCAGGGATTCCATTTTCCTGGGATCTGAGGTCACGGCTCTTTCTTTGAGCTTTTTCAAATTTATTCCTTCATTTGGACTAACTGTTTTGCAACATTGTAGAGTTGAACTCGTAGTGAAGCTACTACTATAATGGATTCTTGTTGTGAAACCTTGAATCCCAATGCCCATCCCATACAAGTTAGGAAAGAGCTTATTACATATGGAAAAAATGCTCTTCGGGGAGAGAGGCTCGGGGAATTTTGAGGAATGGGGTAATGCGTACCAAGTTGGCGAAGAGTTTGAGAGCTGATAATGGAGGTAGAAAAATCAAAACTGATGTTGCTTTCTCTGTTCTTAAGGATGTCAATAACGACATTGTGGTAAGTAATGCAGTACATAGCTCATTTCCTTCTCCAATAAACTAATTAAATACGTGTTTATTTTCTTCATATTTATCACTATTACCCAAAAAATAGGTCACTTTCAAATTCTAGAATAGCTAAATTCTTCATTTTATGTCCAAGTTGAAAATAAAATTGGTATTGATTTTCATGGATCATTTTTAGGGTTGCAATTTTTTGTGATACTATATGTTCAAATTGCCAAAAAAAAGTGATCAAGTTAAAGGTTCCTTTCTACTCAAATTATTTTCTCTGAATATGCTCTCATCCTTTCATTTATGTTTCGACTTTAGAGCGAGACCACCCAAGCACCACTATTTGGGAATGCAGAAGGCAGACCCAAAGAATGTTGCTTATAGGCTGACCATGTGAGCCCCACCTCGGAAAGACAGAAGCAGCTGCACTTTAACCCTCCTAAACGGGCACATAAGAACAATCCTGGGTCAAGGTCAGTCTGGATATAAAATGTAAGGCCATGCCTAAAAAAACTTGCAGGCCAGATGGGATGAGTTTCTCCACCAAGTTTGGGATGACAACCATTAGTTTTTAAAATTTGTTGTCATTTTAAACACAATAGATGGATGCAGATTAAATTTAAATTCATGATATCAGATTTCATATCAGATTCGGATCTAAAGGTTTGGTAATTGGACCTTAGATGGGGATGTAGCTGGGTCAAATCTGTTTACATCCTTCCGTTGGATATGAGCACTTTCTTCCTACTGCTTCTTTTCTTCTTGCTTTCAGTGACCCAATAACGTGATAGGTTTGGCTCCAACTTCGAGTGCTTAGTCTGATTTGTCTCTTTCATCATATGGGTTGGTTTGTGGTCTGCTTGAGGCCTAATGGGCCCTCTCTACCTCAGCAACAGGTATTACATATTATCAATTTAAGGGGGATTAAGGGTAATTGGGATTTCATGAAAGTAAAAACTCTACATACACTCTTAAAAGCATATGCATCCAATTGCACATTGGGAACATCTCTTTGTGAATTTTATATACTTGCAAATTTGGTTTACCATTTTCAGAAGTATGTTGATACAAATGCTGATATTACAGTTCCATGTATACTAATGGATGATAGGTATGTTAAGTGAACTTTCTATCCTTATTATAGGTGGGTGCTTTGAGGCATTTCTCTCTTATAGTCCATGTACAACAAGGATTTGTACAATGGGAATGAACAAAAAGTGTTTGGTTTGTCATTTGTATACAATATACTACTATCATTTTGAGTATCACCTCATGGTATTATGTTTATTTCTTTCATTTGAATGCATATGCATTCATAAGGGTGTATTTACACGTAGATGCATGATAAATTGACAAAGTCCAACAAGTTATGATTTATTTTATTTTCTTTTTTCATGTTAACATATGCAGAAACATTTGTATGGAAACATGATGTTACTTTGAAGAGTAATTGCAAAGTTTGTTGGTGAAACGCTGAAGAGTAAGTGATGTTTGATGTCCTTTAAGTAACTCCTGTCCTTGTAAGACATGTATCTTTTTTTGGTAATAGTAAGACATGTATCCATTCTATACCACTTAGACTTTTTGATATTTTTTTATCACTTTGGTATTTTTTATGTTGCAATAACGTTGGATATTCATGGTTAGCTTATTAAAAATTGTATCCATGTTATGGGAATCAAAGAACTATTGTCCGGTCCAATTTACTTTATTACAAGCCAAAGCTATGTACAAATCATCATAAGTCTCTCATGGGGAAGAGTTGAACATAGTGTTTGTAATAGAAAAATTCATTTAGTTTTTTTAATCACTTCTATTTTTTCTTCATTTTTTACTCTCAATTATTCGATATTTACTTGCGTATGCCGAGCACAAGCACCCCTCGCTAGTTTTACATTATTTTGTATGTATTTGTATTATACATATTTGTATTTGCACTATTACCAAACGTAGCTTTGTCCATGCAAATGCAAAGTTGGTTTAGTTTTGCCTTAATAAATTTCTTACCAGACTATTTTTAGTTGTAATGGGTGCAAATGTAAATCCCGAGATTGAAATATATCTTTTTAACATTTATCAACTTTGAATGCAAAATATACTTTTTTTATTATGCAAACATTCCTTGAAATCTATGAACATTGCTACTTTAAATATATAAATACATTCTTACCAAACACCATTAAAACTTAAATAGATTGCATATATGCATTGAGTTGGCATTTGCACTTTTTTCAAACAGAGCCTTAGGCTGTGTGCAATGCAATTCTATTTGCACTAGTACAAATGCACAGGAGTGTAAATGAAAAGAATGCAAATTCTGATCTAATTCTAGTGTACCTGAAAAGAATGCAGTTCATATGCTCTAGGTCTTATTTTAGTTCATTTGTACTTCAATCAAACAAAACAAGGTAAATTTTGAAACAAAACAAGAAAAAAATTGCACCCAAATCATTTACACTCTACCATAGTTTTGCATTAGTACAACTAGATTTGCACTACAACCAAATGCAGAAGGGGAAATCTATGCTTCTAGAAAGACATGATAGGGAAGAGCCTTGACTAATCAAAACCCTCCATGAACTTGATAAATAATCATATGTTTGGATACAAGTTTTCTAGCATCACAATCGAACTCTTCTTTCTTATTTTTTGGGTAAATTACAAAGACCCCCTGTACTATGGGGTCTATGACAAAGACTCCCCTGTATTATGACCTTGAGACAAAAACCCCATTCCATTAGTTTTCCCTTGAAATCCAACGTTGCAATATTTTTTAATCCCCATACTACCCTTATAATAACTATTCAGACTATTAGGCTGCATTTGTTTGAACTGTAAATTCAAATTGTATACCATGGAAAAAATGAACCGATTTAGTAATTGGTGGAAATTAACCAGTTGATTTTGAAAATTTACACCTATCGGTGAGATGGTGTAGAGGAGGAGAAGACACTCTATTGAAGAGGAGGGAAGCAGGGGAAGAAGAAGAAAAAAAATGAAGAGGAGAAGACGAGTGGGTACTACTCGAGGAGGCTGGCGATGGCGAGCCTCCAAAGCAACTCCAGGTGACTAAGAAACCCGTGTTCGACAGTCTCTCTCTAAGTTGCTGACTCCATCAACTCTGGTGCTCAAGAAAACTATTGTTGACAGTTCAAGGCTAAACAACCTAGTTTCATATTCACATTTTTTGTGAATATGAAAACTGTTTGTTGTACCGGAAATGACAAAGACAGGGAGCAATCGCCATGCCAGAAGCAGAGATGATTCTGAGTCATCCTTGTAGGTTGGTTGTTCTTGGGTAGAATGAACATCAAGTCAGTGCTTCAATCTCCCTTTTGTACTTGTTCTTGCTTCTTTGCTCCCTAATGACACGAACATGCTCCTTCAGTTCCGCTCTCAGACTGATGCACATGGGATCCTCCGTACCAACTGGGCCATCGACAACGCCTGCTCCGCTTTGTTGCGAGGTGTTCGATGCATTCACATCATTGCTCGAGGAGGCTGGCGATGGCAAGGGTACGTTATTGGACCTGTCCGGTGTTACATGGGCGCAAACAAATACTGGTCGGGGAATACCTTCGCTTGGGCTAGATTTGCACATGCGTACAGAGGAAGCACAAAGAGAAGCTACCGATTATGAAAGGTATTCCCCTGTTCTGGGTCCTCTCCGATTCTCCCTTCGGAGGTGGGTTCAGATCTGCCGCTGCAACTAGTTGTAGCGGTGGTGACGGAAAGAGAAAAAAAAGGGGGGAAGAAGAAGAAGAGAGAAGAAGAGAGAGATAGAGAGAGAGAGAGCGAGAGAGAAGGGGAAGAAGAGAGAAAGAGAGAAGGAGAGAAGGAGAAGAGAGAGATGTAATAAATACATCGAAATCGATTATCGATGTAATGCAATGGCAACATTAATTTTACATCGATATGTAAAATTACATATTTATCAAATGCTTGCAAAATCGAACCGGGGTGTAAAGTTTACCCCGGTTTGATTTTATACCTCTACCAAACGCAGTCTTAAGAGAAAAACATTGTTAAAGTGACACCCACCAAACCCCACTTTACCCAATACCCACCCCCTCTCTTGTCTCTCACTCTCACCAAACCCCACTTTACCCAAGCATATGAAAAAATGCTATCTTCAAACCCCTTCTCTTTTTTGCGCTATTCTTCTATGCCTACCTATTGCATTCATCTTCATAGTTACCAACCCCACCAACAGCAGCAGCAGCACCGATGACGCTGGTGCCACCACCACCACCAACGGCAATTATATTCGCAAAATCCAGGTAAGGAATATCGTTCCATCCACAAGCAACATTAAGCGAAGCAAGAATAGCGGAATCAAAAGCAAAATTGTCAGTAGACCGCTACCGCCGCCAGCAGTTATTCCAGAAGACGACGAATCTCTATTCCGCATCGCCGGCCAAGTAAACCGAAACCCATCACCCATTGGAGCAACAAAGAAATTAGCATTTATGTACCTGACTACTTCGGATCTCCCATTCGCTCCACTATGGGAGCGCTTCTTCCTTCCAAATCAAACCCAACAGTAGAACAATAGAACGAAGCTCTTCAACATCTACATCCACGCCGACCCATCTTCTCACTACGACCAACCATTCTCCAACATCTTCTCCGGGTGCACCATCCCCTCCAAACCCACCCAACCATTTACTCCATCTCTTGTCTCCGCGGTTCGTCGCCTCCTCGCTCACGCCCTTCTGCACGCCCCCTCCAATGCCATGTTCTCTCTCCTCTCCCCCTCCTGCATCCCCCTCAGTTCCTTTGGCTTCACATACATAACCCTCATTGGATCCGATAAGAGCTTCATCGAAATCCTCAAAGACGAACCAGGCTTCTGAGGTTTCGCCGGAGCTGATCCTCTCGCTCAGACATGCTAGGCCTAGATACTGTGGTGATGGCAACTCGACTGCCAATGCTCTGACTAGTCCGTGTCGAAACGGCATGACCCTTTTCTTTTTGCTCGGAAATTCTCGCCGGATTCTTTACAGCCGTTGATGGACAGCCGGCGACGTCATCTTCCGAGACTAAAAAAGTGACTGTAACTAGTAAGTTTGGTTGCAGGATTTTATACATAGAAAAGAAATACAAAAACATGCAAGTGTAATTGTGTAAACCCCTTTCTTTGTCTTTATTCTCTGAGTTCTTTTTAGTTTTTATTAACACTTTTAACTCAGAGTCAACTGCTCCTGTTGTTCGAGATCGGGGAAGATGAACAGTATTTTTCTTTGGAATATTAATGATAACGGTTGTATGGAAATTAAAACGGCGGATTTACAACCTTTATCGCAAAATAAAGTACAGGGAGTCATTGTCACAAACCCATAGTGCAGGGGTGTCTTTTTTTTTATTATTAATTTTTTGTCAACAGAAAAGGTATCCATGTTTTTTTTTTCTTGCCTTATTTGCAAGTTTGGATTGCTAGACAAAATAGGGTTTTACGATGGCATTATATATGCATGAAAAAACTTGGAAAATTCAAATCTCATATGACCAGGACTAGTCTCATACTTGATCCAATATGTTACTTTCAGTTCGTGTAGTCTTAGAGTCTCCTACTTAATCTAAATAATCAACTTCCTCTTTATTTTTATATAAATAACCAATCTATCTCAACTGTTCTTTTTGTTTTTTTTTTCTTGTTTTCGGTGGATTGTCATAGATCATAGATCCTAAGGTATACTCGTTTTGGGGATGCTTCTAGCTTAGATGACGTTAATCATATTTGTTATATAGGATCTCTTATGGATATCATTTTTCCATGGCTGAAACAAACAATGGATTTAAAAGAAGAAAAGTTGGAGCATTGGAACATTTTCCCTTTTTTTTTCTCCATTTTGAACTCTACTGCTTGAAAATTGAAATAGTAAGAGAAAGAGATGGACTTTTTCATTTTTCTTATGTAAGCGTAATTTTGTCTATAAAAAATTAAAAATTAGATTTTCTTCCTGCTAACGGGTTTTAACATTAGAGTCCGGATCTCAGCATCCCTGGAGAGATTTCTATACATCAAATCAGAGAGTGTCACGTCAACACTCTCGCATGCTTAAATTTTACATGTGCGAGTGGAGTGATATTCCAAACGTCCTCCCATTCTATTTTTAATATATTAAAATTTCAAAACAAATAAAAAACAGGAATTCCGACTTTTGACTTCCGATTCTCGATACAGAGCTGGATATCACTAGGGCTGTTCATAAGAAGGCCCGACCTAACCCGAGTCAGTCGGGTTTTCATCAGCACTGGTCAGTTTCGGTTGTCAGTTTCGGGTTGGACAAACCGAAACCAACCCAAACCAAACCAAACCAATTAGTTTTCTAGTTCGGTAGTTCCTAGTTTCCTATTTAACTAGTCTTCTACTAGAACTAGAACAGCCATATCAATTAGTTCTTAATTAAATTGTATCTATCCTAATTTCTATAGTCTTTTACACCAAATAGGCAACCCATTAGGCAATTACAATTAGAATTAGGTGTCCTTCTAGTTCTAGGCTTTTCTATCATTTTTGTACAAGAACAAAACCGAAATCGACCCAACCCAACTCAAACCGACTAGGTCACTTTTGCCTATCAGTG